GGGGGCGGCGGGGCCTCTCCCGGTGCACCTGCCGGCGGGGCGCACCCGCCCGGGCGTCGCGGTTCTTGTGTGCGTGGAGCCCTGTGCTGAAGGACTCGGGGCTCTCGCAGTCCCGAGCCAGGGTTGGCGGGAGCGCGGTGATGGGGCCGCTCCCGTTAGTGAAATGCAATGGCCAGCGTGGTTTTCTTCCCACTGGGCCTCTTACTCAGCTGGCGCCTCATCCACACCTGATGTGCGGTGTTTGGATGTTGCCGTGTGAGGCTTTAGAGCTGGTGAGACTTGCAATGGACCAGATGCTGGACAGATGGGAGTCTTTGGAGACCAGAGTCCAGCCCTGGCGGCTGAAGAGTGCCCCCCCCCACGCCCACACCCCCATCCCCAGAACCTAGAGATACCTGACCTCAGGTGGCAACAGGGGCTTTGCAGATGTGATGAAGATTCTTGAGATGGAGAGATCATGCTGATTATGGGGGGGGCAGTGTAATCACGGGGTCTTAGTAGGAGGGAGGGAGGAGGGTCAGGGAAGACGACATAACCACAGGAGAAGAGGGAGAAAAGGAAATGTGACCAGAGATAGGGGTCAGAGTGTGTGCTTTGTAGGCAGAGGAGGAGTGCGCATTCTTTCCTGGAGGCTCCTTCTTTCCTGCAGAAGGAACCAGCACTGCTGACCCCATGTGTGTCACTTTTGGCCACCAAGTGTCTAGTTACTTGTTACATAGCCACGGGGACTAAGACAGACTTCCGTCGCTCCTTCCCACTCCATTCACTTTCTTCCCGGGCTCCCAGGGTGCTACCGCCCCAGGCCCTCCTTCCACGCAGCCCCCTGAGGGTTCCTGACTGCCTGGGCTCACTCCTTGGCTCTCCCCTCTCTAGCCACACCCACTCCCTGGGTGATCTCGTCTCTGGGCAGTACCAGCACCGGCGGGTCCTGCCAGGACCCCTCTTGGGAACTCTTCCCAGCATCTCCATGTGCAGCACCTCACGCCCTGCATTTCTAGGCCTGAACTCAGGACACCGCCCAGCCTTGCCCCATCCGCGCACTCCCCATCTCTCTCTCTTTTTTTTTTTAAAGATTTATTTATTTATTTGAGAGAGCGAGAATGAGAGAGAGAGTACATGAGAGGGAGGAGGGTTAGAGGGAGAAGCAGACTCCTCGCCGAGCAGGGAGCCCGATGCGGGACTCGATCCAGGGACTCCAGGATCATGACCTGAGCCGAAGGCAGT